AGAGTTATGGACAAAAGTGTGGGAGGAAGAGGGACTACACATATTGCTCTTTGAAAAAGCTCGTGTAAACAGAACAGATACTCTGGTCCCCTCCTATCCTGTAAGTGTCAATGATAGTTGTGTTCAAACTCAAGCAGTCTTGAACTGCTTCACCAGTGTTTTAAAATATTAGCGGTTTATACAAACACTATGAATTTCTTCAAAAATTTTCAGTTATTTGACAAGTGCAATCCAATCATAAATAAAAACCAAAAGAACTGCGGATGCTGTAAACCAGAAACAAAAACAAAGTTGCTGGAAAAGCTCAGCATGTCTGGCAGCATCTGTGAAGGAAAAAACAGAGTTAACGTTTTGGGTCTGGTGACCCTCCTTCAGAATGGTCCAATCATATTGCTTTTACCTAATACAATTTGTGATGAAATAAGATCACAGCTTTCTACTGTCACTCTGTACTGCATTTCAACTTTTTTTTGTGACATTTGGCTTTAATGAAAATTTAAGTTGGCCATTGAGAGTAGAAAAATTGTAAATCCCCAGTAGTGCTACATCCTTTTCACAGGAGGAGCAAAAACCGAGAACTATTTAATAAAGCTAAGCATGTGATTGGGCAATGTTATTACTTTATTAACGTTTAATACCTGATGGAGAAAGTTTCACAGAACATTGCTTTAATTGGCTTCATTATTGAGATGATTCCTTTGCTAAAATATGAGGTCGTATTCAAATTGACTGGCCTAATATTCTCTTCATGTGAGTACATATTTTTATAGTAAGCTTTAGGTGCATAGTAAAATAAGATAAATAGAAAACGTCTGTCAAAATCCTTTCGCAAAATATTTGATCAGATAAATGCCCAAAGTAACAGCAATGCACATGTCGTCTACATGCTCAAGTATATCAGAGCCAGTGATAAGAATTTTAATAAATGTGCACACAGATTTATTTAATCTTAAACATTAAATGATGCATTATCTTTAAATTGTTCACAAAGAAAATATGATTTGGTTTTAAACTAAGCTTGTAGGTTTTTTCCCCCTCTTATTGTCTTATGGAAAATACTAATGGGACCTTCTCAAGCTAATCCTGTTTTTGTCCATACTGTAGTTGCATTCCAATTATATTTGCCTTTTAAGTAACCAGCTGTTGTAAGTGCTACTTCAAGTTTTTATTCAGCATAGTTGTGACAACAGCAAAAATCTGAAACTGTATTACAGTCCAAAACTAAGGACCATAAAACAAGATGATTACTAATAAATTCAGTAAGGATTTTGTGAAAAAGTTCCTTATTCAAAGTGGTGAGAATGTGTAACTTGCTAACATGTAAATATGGAACTTGTTGAGGCAAATGGCGAAGATATCTAAAGAAAACTAGAAGTACACAATGGATAAAAAGGTAGAGTGAAATAAGTAGAGTGGGATACGGTGGCATGGTAGCGCGTGGTTAGCACTGCTGCCTCACAGCACCAGGGACCAGGTTTGATTCTAGCCTTAGGTGGCTGTCTATGTGGAGTTTGCACATTCTCCCAGTGTCTATGTGGGTTTTCTCTCACAGTACAAAGATGTGCAAGTTAGGTGGATTGGCCATGCTAAATTGCCCATAGTGTCGAGGGAAACACAGGGATAAGGTAGGGGTGGGTGGGTGGGATGCTCTTTCGAGGGTTGGTGTGGACTTGATGGGCTGAATGGCCTGCCTCCATACTGTAGGGATTCTGAGGAGTGTAGATACTGACATTTGACTATCAGGTTGGAATGGCCTGTTTTGTGCAATGCTGATTTGATGTCAGCGATGTCATTTTAGAGCTCAGCGCTCTAGCCAACACTCTGTCTTAACCTTGCATAACTGCACAGTGCATTCAGCAGCAGGAACGAGTCCCAAAGGTACTATTTAAGGACATTGACACCTACCTACGTGCCAGTTCGCAGTTGAGTTTTTTTAGCAACTGCTATGGTTCTACATGTTTGGTGCTTCCTATATTTGTCTGAAGTTGCAAAGGTCCACAGGGAATGGTGTGGTAGATCTTAAGGTGGGCAGCCGTAATTTTCTTAGATTTCTTCGGCAGCATCTTCCAAAACCGGGATCTCTTCCATGTAGAAAACAAAGGCAGCAGCAGTACAGGACACCACCATCTGCAGGCTTACCTCCAAGCCACACATCACCCTGACATAGAACGATATTGCCGTTCTTTCACTGTTAATAAATAGAACAATACAGCACAGGAACAGAACCTGTGGCCTACCATATCTGTGCCATTCTAGACTAATCCCATCTGCCTGCACTTGGTTCATATCCCTCTTATTCCCTGCCTGTTCATGTGTCTGTCTAAATGCCTCTTAAACATTGCTATCATATCTGCTTCTACTGCCTCCCCTGGCAGCACATTCCAGGCACCTACCACCCTCTATGCAGAAAACTTTCCTCACACATCTCCTTTAAACTTACCCCCTCTTAGCTTAAACTTATGCCCCCTAGTGTTTGAAATTTACAACCTGGGAAAAGGATTCTTTTGCACCCTGTCCAAAGTCTCCACATTCTTCCCATAGTGGGACAACCAGAAATGCACACAATACTCCAAATGTGGTCTAACTAAAGTTTTATACAGCTGCAATATGACTTGCTAACTTTTATACTCAATGTCCAGCTGAATGAAAGCAAGCATGCGTTCGCCTTATTCACCACATTATCCACTTGTATTGCAACTTTCAGGGAGCTAAGGACTTGCACCCCAAGATCCCTCTGTATATCAATGCTCATTAGGGTCCTTCTATATATACTTTCCACCTGCATTTGACTTCCCAAAATGCAGCACCTCACGCTTGTCTGAATTGAACTCCATTTGCCATTTCCCACCTAGTTTTCCAACTGATCTATATCCTGCTATATCCTTTAACAACTTTCCTCACTATCCAGAACACAACTATTTTTTGTGTCATCTGCAAACTTACTAATCACATCATCTAAATTTTCATCCAGCTCATTTATGTATAATACAAACAACAGAGGTCCCAGCACAGATCCTTTTGGAGCACCACTGGCTGCAGATGTCCAGTCAGAAAAACACTCCTCCACGACTACCCTTTCTTCTATGACCAAGCCAATTTTTTATCCAACTTACCAACTCAACATGTGATCCCATGTGACTTAATCTTCTTGACCAACCTACCATGAGGGACCTTGTCAAATGCTTTAGTACAGTCCATGTAGACAACATCCACTGCCTTAACCCTCATCAATCATCTTTGTAACTTCCTCAAAAAAATCAAATTTGTGAGACAAGACCACCCCTACATAAAGTTATGCTGACTATCCCTAATAAGTCCATTCTTTCTAAATTTGAGTAAATCCTGTCCCTAAGAATCTTCTCCAATAATTTCCCTACCAATGATGTAAATCTGACCAGCCGTAACTTCCTGGATAATCCCTGTTGCCCTTCTTATAAAAGTGATCAGGTCAAAGAACTGACAAACATCAGGCTTCTTCCAGGTTGACTCTGAAATTGTTTGCAACACCTCACAGTTTGCTATCCATTGTTCTGTAAGAGAGGTCACCAAGTCTCTCTACTCAATCAAGCATTGAATTCTCTCTTTGTTAGGATTGAAATCTTCTCCACAGTGTGGGATGCAATTGACTACACACACATTATCTTGTGGTTTCTGCAGTGTCAACCTGTCCCTATAATATAGCCATAATGGACGTTACTCCATTAATGTCCTAAGGGTAGCTTTGAGCCAACAAAGACTACCCTAGGATGTCATAGCTATTGAATTCAGTGAGCAACCCCAACACACACATGCATTATTGACATAAACTAATAACCATACTACCAGATAAAATGTGATTGAACCATTTACGCACTGAAATAATGCTTGGATCTGTTTGAATAAGCCCTGTAGTGTTTTTGCAGAGCAGGTTGCAAGAATTGTGGTGATCTGCTATATGCTACATATCTTCACCATCATGGGGAGAGAGTACATGCCTCCAGCTTTAAAGCATGTAACTGAAAAGCAGGAGCATGATATGATGGGTAGGAAGGGAGGTGTCAATCTAGACAACCATTTCCTTGTCAGACTGTCCATGAAGAATTCATCTTGGTGCAATGCGAATAATCGTAATTCTAATTCTCCATTCACCAAGAGTCCCACACCTTACCTTTTGTTGCTGACAACACTTGGCCACAAATGGGAAAGTAAAAGACACCAGAACATAAACATTCCAAACCAAATTTATAAACAAATCATGAAATAATCCATGCAAATTCAGCTTCTCTCGGTGTCTGTCTTCCATATGCCTTTGATTTTTCTACTGTTCCTGCGCAGTGCTATCCATTGGAGGACTGTCTGTCTTTCATTGGGAGAAACTAGTGTAGGTAGCCTTGGAGCATGGCCTTAAGCAGCTCTGGAAATGGATGGCCTGACAATAGACTGCATCATCTCAATGTGGATGGATGCGGCATGAGCTGAATGACTGAAATGCAACATGTGTGTGGTTAGTATGGACTAAGTTTCACCTGGCCCAACTTGTAGAATTCTCCATTAGTTTAGATAATTTATATGATAAGCGGAAAATGTCTCGGTGCAATTGAAATATATTTCTTGCAGTGATGGATGATGAGTCCATATCAGTTTGTTTTCAACATAATTCCAGTAAATCTTTGTAAATGTTAAAATAGTGAACAAATATTAGGCTGAATATTTGCACAAATAGCGATTTTATTATTGTAAAAATGAGCCAATGTTGCAGATAAATAAAGTTAAGTCAAAAGTAATGCCTTAGATGTCTGATATATAAACTGGACTTTTTATATGACATAGACTAAAATGTTTATTTGGGTGAGTATTTTCTGATCTGAAATTATAATCAGTAAATAATTTCCTCATACAAATGTCATTCCTTGGTAAAGAATTTTCAAAATGAACATTCTATCATCGATGTGAAATATAATGAGAAAGGAAAAGAATTGCAGATACGTTATTGATAGATTTGTATGTTGTTGTTTTTACAGAAAGCCAGACTTGCAAGAATCCGAGTGGCAAAGAGTGGGAGTGCAAGTGCTTATATGCAGAGCAAGCACAATGGCTTACTAAGTGATTCACTGGAGCAGGTAATGGTTGTGAGAGCTCAGGGTTGTATTTCATTCCTCCTTTCTCAGGAAACAGAACTGTGCCAAACAAAATCATCCAGTAGTACCCAATTTCCATGTTTGCTGATAGTTAATTTGCTTTCATTTATAATAGTGAGACTGCTTTCACTGAAACTGAAATCCTGCATATGAATACAGGGCTTGAATGTGTTCGGTATTTTCCTATAGGGTCTAGCAAGTTCCCCCTTTGATTTATGTATGTTTTGAAAGTGTTCACGGGGAGTTCTGGCTAGGATTTATTAAAAGCTGACAATGTGTGATGAATGTATGACCATCACCGGAGGATTACAAAAGAGGAAACCATTGAACAACTTCAAGCTTTACAGTTTACGAGCACAGCAGGAGTTCCAACTGTGGTATGTGCTGGCAGTAACCCATGTGTTTTAAATCCTCGCTGGGATGTTGATTGTATCAAATGGAAAAGACAGTGAAAATAAATATTTCCCTCCCAGAAAGTTAGGAATTTCTTCAAGGCTTCTCCTGCTGCATTGGCAGAATTTCAGCAATGGTATAAAAATATGCACCAAAAAGTGAAGTTATTCCTATGGGTTTCTCTGACTTTGAGATAAAGTAGCCTGTCCCCAGCAAAGAAGCCAAACAGTTATTGATGTAGAGATACTTCAAACAACAACAGGTAATTAGCCTGTGATTAACTGCAGGATATCTCTCCTTAGATCAACTCTTCATCCAAATGGCAGCGTGAAAGAGACAGGTCAGATTAGCATCCAGGCATCGCATAGAAGTTTCAATAGCCCATCCTATCTGTGAGCCTACAAGAAATCAGCAATTAATTTTGCAGCTTCTCCCATCATGTGTCAGATGCTGGGTGACAACGCTGTTTATGCAAGTAACAGATTTGCAGCCAATATATACTGTATTTATAGCAATGAAAACCAATTCTCTGCAAGAAGCCTTTTCTCGCCCACCCACCCCGCAGTTAATCTAGCTCAGTTATCAATGATCATTTTCACAGGAGCCAAAACAACATCAAAAATGACACAATACAAAGAACAACTTGAGATGCAAAATATATTCCTTTGCCATCAGCATTAGACATGAATTACATGGGCTTCTTGAATAATTGACCTTGATTTTAAACTGCCTCTTCCCCCCAAATCCCAATCCTCATCACACCAATGAGTGGGAGAGGGTCATGGAGGGTTAAAACAATGGAATCCAGCAACTGGACCTCATTTCCATCCATTTTAATGATGTGGCCAGCAATGAAACGCCAAAGAAAGGCAGGTAGGGGGCCATTTAACAATCAGTAGCTACGGCCTGTTGATATTACGGATGTCGCACACTAAATCTAACTGTAGGTCAGAGGAAGTCCTGCAGTTTTACTGCCATTTATCAGATCTGAGGTAGGAGCCGTGATTGCTGGGAATAGCTCCTTTTAGCTTGCTCCCCTTCCTCTCAGTTATGACCTGTTAGTTCTTTCTGCTCCCTCTCCTCATCCATCCCAACTCTGATCCCAGCTTGAAGAAGCCCCTACACCCAATCCCGCAATGCTCACTACCAATTGCTGAACCATTCGAATTGTGACATCCTGTTGTTAGTGCCTGCTGACTGGGCAATCAATCTGACTGGCTATTAGGCAGGAATTTGCACACCATTATCCACGTTTCGTCATGATTAAAATCAGCAGAACCTCCAGATCTTCAGACAGTTCAGCCACTAACAGGCAATTGCATCAAAAATGATTTTAAAAACAGCCAGGTGCAGACAAGAAAAAAATAAGTTAATCAGCAAGAGGAGAAATCTGCAGCAGAGATGAATCATAGAAAAAAAATAACTCACTGCAGAGGCAGGATACTGCAGCAGGGGAATTCTGCTGAAAAGTGAAATTCTGTTGTATATGATACATAGGTAAAAGAGATGCAGAATGAAAAGAAAATAAAGTCAACAATCAGATACCCAGTTATATAAGCTTAAGAAACAGTTAAATTGTGAGAGAATATTCTGTTCGAAGGCTCAGGATTAGAAGAAAAAAATTGTTACTGAGCAAAACATTTGAGTGTTGGAGAAACTCAACAGGTCTGGCAGCGTCTGCAGGGAGAAAAACAGAGTTAACGTTTTCAGTCCAGTGACCCTTCGTCAGAACTGTTAGTAAGATGTTAATTGAGGGTTATGTTCCCTGAATGCACATGAAAAAGTCAAATGCCTGTACATCCATGCACTAGATACCAGTTGAGAGACCTTTAGTGGCAATACATTACCAGACTTTAACAATTTTCCTTCCATAAAAAATAAGCAATCCCCTTCAGGGATCAATTAAATTAATCAATATAAGGGTTGAGATCTTCTAATAATAAAATGAATAAGGAAACAAGAGCCCATGATGTTGAAGGTAGTTTATTAGCATAGATAGAGGATTTATTAACTATTAGAAGGCCGAGAGTTGGGATATAGATGGTATTTTCAGGATAGCAGCCTGTGATTAGTGCTACATGATTAATGCTGGGCCACAATTATTTACAATATATATTGATAACTTGGATGAGGAAAGTAAATTTACATTTGCCAAGTTTGCAGATGAAGCAAAAATAGTTGGAAATACAAGTGGGGACGATGACACAGACAGTTTACAGAGACATATAGACAGGCTACGTGAGTGGGCAAAACTTAGCAGATAGAATATAATGTGGGAAATAAGAACATAAGAACCAGGAGCAGGAATAGGCAATTCAGCCCTTGAGCCTGCTCTGCCATTTGATACAATCATGGCTGATCTCATCTCGGCCTCAACTTCACTTTCCTGTCTGCTCTTCATAACCCTTCAACCCATCACTAATTAAAAATCTGTCTAAATTCTCCTTAAATTTACTCAATGTCCCTAGCATCCACCACACTGTAAGGTAGTGAATTCCACAGATTCATGACCACTTGAGAGACGTAATTTCTCCTCATCTCTGTTTTAAATCTGCTATCCCTTATCCTAGAAGTATGACCTCTCGTTCCAAATTGCCCCACATGATGAAACATTATTTCTGCATTTACTTTACCAATTCCCTTTGGCATCTTATATATGTCAATTAGGTATATCTCAAATGTGACGTTTTGCACTTTGGCAGGAAGAACAGAAGAGCTGTATATTGTTTAAATTGAGAAAAACTGCAAAAATCTGTACATGGAGGGATTGGAGACATCTTCAGCATAAAAAGTTAATATCCAAATTCATTAGATAATGAGTAGGTGAATGGAACGTTGGCCTTTATTTCAAAGGGAATGGATTAAAAATGTATTTCAATAAAACTATACAAGGTACTAGTCAGACAACAGCTGAAATATTGTTATCAGGTTTGTTCCGTTCATCTAAAAAAAGAAAAATATACTGGCTTTGGAGGTTGATCCTGGGTATGGAGGTGTTCAGTAGGTTGGAACTACACTCATTGCAGTTTAGAAGAATGAGAGGTGACCTTATTGAAACATATAAGATTCTTAGAAGACTTGACAGTGTAGATGTGGTGAGTGGCTTCCATTTGTGGGAGAATCTAGGACATCAGGGCATAACCTCAGAATAAGGGGCCACTCATTTAAGACAGAGATGAGGAGGAAATTCTTTCCTCAGAGGATAGGGAAACAAACAAATTCCTTGCATAGAGAGCTGTCAAGGCTGGGTCATCAAGAATATTCAAAACTGAGTTGGACAGATTTTCAATCAATAAGGGAATCAAGAGTCATGGTTAAAAGGCAGGAAAGTGGAGTTGACCATCATATCAGCCACGATCTCCATGAATGGCAGAACAGAGTTGATGGGCTGAATGGCCTACTTCTACTTTTGCGTCTTATGGTCTCTTGCCTCAGACTTTCTTGAGCACGAGAAGATAAATCCTTGCTCCCTGAAGTCTTCTAACTGTGCTCCTTTGTAGCCTTGGACATGGAGGAGCAGATGGATGATTCACCAATGTCTCCATACCACACACCAAGTGGAGAATAGCTTTTTAAATTCTCACTATCCTAGTGAAATTTGATATCGATGTATTTGGTAGATTATGTACAAGTAAAAGTAAAAGCATCTGTTTATATTGAACCAGTGTTTAGAATTTCTTTAATTCCCTACGTACCTTCAGTTCATTACTTCATGTTTTTTTCTAGATGTCTAACGATGAAGAACAAGCCCTAGTTAGCAAGTCAGGGTCTTCATTTCAGAGGCAGCATCACCATCTCTTACACTGTTTGGAAAAAACTACGGTAAGTAATGACATCTGAGCTCTCATGAAAATGCAGAAATGAAATGAGCTGATCCTCTGAGAACTAGTTTTTTTGTGTTTTTGCATTTTTGTTTGAAAGCGGATTGTCCTAAAATTGTGATGTATGTTTTGCAAAATGAATTTGCTCATTTGCTGAAAAGATTTTAACAAAGTAATCTGTTGTACAGCACTACATCATCATGTCTTTCACCTCCAATGGGAATATACTGGACGCAAAGAAAAGTCAAAATAAGAACATTTCAAATAAGATGTAAAAGGGTTTAGTTGTAGCTCTTGTTTCTATATTGTTTATATTGCTAGTCCAGTTCTGTTTTTGGTCAATGGAAACACTTGGGATGTTGATAGAGGGGTAATCAGCAATTGTAATGCCATTGAACATTAAGTGGCAATGGTTAGATTCTCTCTTGTTGAAGACATTCATTGACTGACATTTGCATGGCCAAATGTTCCTTGCCACTTCTCAATTCAGAAAAGAAAAGCACATGTAAGGGATGTTATTCCGTGAGTACATTTGCAACTATTGCATCAACTGCTGGAACAATGTGTTTTTTATGTTACACTATTGTAGTCACTTTGCAATACTTAAGTAGTTTCATTTCTTCTAGAAATAGACAAAACACTTTCAAATGTAACACAGCATACAAGTAGAATAAGCAATGGGATATAAATATTTCATTAAAGTAAACTTTGGGCTAAGGACTTTGTTAAAATATACATTGAAGAAATTCATGGAAATGTGTCAGTGTTAAAAATAACGCATAGGAATTTCAATCCCCTAATGAAAATTCTTATATGTTTCATAAACCATCATCCTGTTTTATTAACCATCTATGTTTGCATCTGTGGCAAAGTATGTGCCAACCCTCAACTGAAGTTGCAAGAAAGATTTGCATGTCTCAGGTTTCTGATGAAATGTGTAAGGGATCTTATTATCTGTAGTACTGTGTCTGAAGTCTTTGTTGTTTGCATATTTTTGAACTCAGATGTCATTTTTATTTATATGTATACCTCCATTAAGATACTGGGTGTTAGTGCTAGGAGACCTAATTTCAGCATGAATTATTTCCCAGTCAGATATGAGAAAAGGTTATATGCATGCTGTACTCTACTTCAACAATGTGCCTTAACTTTTAATCTGAGCGCTTTATATAGCACTATTGTAACTATATAAATTTATTATCTTTAAGTCTTTACGACTGAGTAGCTCTCTGAGTGGGGTTGCTAATTTAATATTATTTTTGGTTCATCAATAAGAAGCTGAATTAACAATGCCCAAGCTCATTTTGCATTGGGCTATTGCAGTCAGATCTGGAACAAAGAGGTAAAAGGTTATTGTTATAGCCCATATGCACCTCAGTTACCTAACAGAAACATACATTCAAACTCTACAGCTACATCATATAAAGCATTTCTTATTCATGTCAAATAGTCTGCACAGAGTAGAAATAAATTTACTTGGCTCACTTTGTGTGATGAATGTTTGTTTTGAAGAAACTACTATGTAAGGAAACCTAAAGAAGGTTCCTTGTAGTATTCCTGAAAGTCATCAATCAATTAGGCTATTTTTTTATTCCTCATCAAAATTATTGAAAGTTAACATAGCTAATTTTAATGAGGACACTGTTTTCCAGTGCCAATTCATTACATTTTTCAAAATTTCTTTGTCAGCTAAATACCAAAATATCAAGTTACAATCTTGACATTCAGTAGCAACTATTTAAATCTTTCATCCAATATTATTATAACACAATAGTTAATCAGCTGTCTAAAAATATTACTTGAGTACATGTTGTGAAATCATCTGCCTTACATGAATGAAATAGAAGACTTTTAAACCATGCATAGCATATTCTCAAATTTGCACTCTAAAGATAATTAATATCTTTTTAATAGCTTTTTGTGTTTATGCACGTTTGCTCGATCTTTTGTAAGAATCTTTAAAATTCATCTAGCTATGATTTGTTAATTAACCCTGAGGTTTTCTAACAAATAAACATAAACATTATATAGTGACTAGTTGTGTGATACTCCCAGTTAATGGAGGTGTCAAAATGGATGCTGTTGTTTTGTTCAGATATTTGAATATACTCATTTTAAACTGTAATTATGCATTAGTTACTGTTTCTTTTTTGTTGGCATGTTACCATATAGGGATTGTCCTATCTTGTGGATGATCCCCTCTTATCAATTCGGTCTTCAACATCTATTAAGGTACCAGTTTGATTGTTGGTGTCAGAACTATCTGAATTTAAGTGTCTGTAATTCTGCATTTTAATGTATTTGTGCTGCAGCTGTTAATGCTTTGACAGTTTGAAAATGTCTGTGTTGTTTGCTGATATTCGGTGATTGTGCAAAAGCTTCTCTGCCATTACTTGTTTTGCTGTTTTAATAAGTTACGTGTCATTCTTTCTGGAAAATATTGATCAGCTTAGCATTAGTGCCCACCACTTGATAAATGTATAAGGCAATAATAATGACAAATTAAAGCTGGTAGGTAATATTATGCCACATACATTTAATACATGCACTGATTTTTTTTTTGACACCCTTAATATTGTTGAAATTACATTATCTATTTCTGGTGGAGGGATTGTGGCAAGTGGGTGCAAATTTTTCCTAACTTTAAACTTAGGACTGGAAAAGTTTAAAGTCATTGAGAATACATTCAATTGTAATTAAAATAATTTTATATCTACATAAACAGGTAGGCGGTGATTTTTGGATAAACTTGGGTCTGTTCCTGGATAAGAAAATGAATGTATTCTTAATATACCATTTGTATTCATTGACATTGTAAATAGATTTTAAATTAATCATGAACTTGATGGACAAAATGAATGTTTCCAAAAATACCTGGAGGTTATGCTGTTCATCTGCCATAGCTCAAAAGCAAAACCTATCATACAACAGCATGGATCTGGCTGTGCTGGGTCTCCACTGTTTCTGGGAATTCCAGCGTGCCTCATAGAGGCTAGAACCTCTACTTGACCCTTGCAAGGTAAATCGCATCAGGAGGTGGACACAGGATGAGGAATATTCCATTGGGGGAGTTCCGGTAGGCTTGGTCCAGTTGGGACCCAATGAAGAATTGGAGCGTGGTAAACCCAGTGAAGTGCACACCAGATCGACTAAAATGGTTCCCACAGGTGAAGTGCAGGCCAGGAACTCTGGACAATCGAAGAAAGGTGCAGTTTTTTAAAAAATTCTTGTTTGGCACCTTTATCTACTAAGGGTAAGACAGCATAGCTGGAATCTGGGAAACAAATAATAGCAGTGCCAGCCCCACCAAAAATCTACATAATTGAATGACATCAGCTTTTATGACTGCATAGGACAGTGAGTGCCAGAGATCTATCTGCGGTGGTGTTTGGACCTCCTCACTATGCACTGCCACTCTCATTGGATCCTGCAAATCTGTGGCATGATCCTTTCTGAGGTTACAGGTTGGTGCATACCCAGCACAATTATTTGGATCTTACTTTAAGAATTTTTGGGACCAGTGCTTTTACAGAACATGTAACTGTGCCCATACTTCTCAATATTTTGCAAGGATTCAATGGAATGTGAAGATGTCTAATTTTCACATGATTTATTTGGATAACCATAATATTGTGGGGTATTATTAATTATTTTCTCATTTATTTAGTTTCTGATTCCGGGTTAAAATAACTTGCTGCATTATCAGAATCATGATTGTCATCTTTATCACTTCTATGTCTAGTTTATTTAACAATAAGGACAACAAGGACTAAATGACTTGCACAAAATTATCATGACTCAACGCAGGAACTGGTTGGTATCATATTTGCAATGATACAAATATGACCTTGCCAATTTTCATAGAATCCCTACAGTGTGGAAGCAGGCCATTCTGTCTATACTGACCCTCCAAAAAGCACCCCACCCAGACCCAGACCCGTCCCCATCCCCATAACTCTGCATTTCCCATGGCCAATCCACCTAGCCTGCACATCCTTAAACTGTGGGAGGAAACTAGAGTACCCAGAGGAAAAGCACACCGACATAGGAAGAATGTGCAAGCTCCAAACAGACTGTCACCCAAGGCTAGAATTAAACATGGGTCCCTGGCGCTGTGAGGCAGCAGTGCTAACCACTGAGACACCGTACCATCCCTAGTGTTGACTGACTGGTAAACTGACCATTGGAAAATATTTTAACAAGTGGTTTTGGATCAGGTGGGAAGTAAAAAAAATTAAGGAACCCAAACACCTCAAATTCACTTGTGATTCTGAAGGAGACTGAACAAAGGGCAGATGCTCAGTGTGTTCCTAGGACATAGGTTAGTCATTGAAAACTTTTAAGAAGAAGCCATACTGGACTCTAGCTTACCAAAATTTGCATTGTTCTACTACTCTTGTTTGGGTTCCCAAGGTCTCAGGAAACCCAGCAGATGAAAGGAGTCTCGATTGGCTGGATCCACAATGTAAGTGCTTTTATAGCCCTGTTTGCAAGCCAGGAGAGTAGCAGTAATTCTTTCCTGTTCAACTAGCTAAGACTAATAGCATTGTTCCCCCACCCCCACAATCTGTTACCTTCCCTGAGGCCCTCCCCATTTTTGATCTTCAATCCACCTCTGATCACCCCAACTCACTGACAACCATATTCCATTCAACCCTACCACTACCTTCAAAACTATCTGCTCTTCCACTGGAGTCTTTTGCTGGAAATCTTCCTCACCTGTCCGGAGCCAAAGCTGTCAGCCAAGCTGATTTTTAAAGCAGGGAGCCTGGAAAAAATAATACACACCATGTAGTAGCTCAAATGCATTTGGAAAGGACCTATGCTTTTGGGTTTCTCAGTTGCAACTCCACTCCACAGTGCTCTAAAACCCTGCTCCCGTAAAAACCAAGATCTCAAAGTTAGTTGGCAATGAATTTGAGGCCTGTTTTTAGGATCTATATCCCAGCTCTAAAACAAAACTCAAAAATAGAGGAATAGATAAGTAGAAATGTTCAAATATTTAAAATTCAGTAAGATATTTATAGTAAAGTTAATATATAGTATATTAATGACAAATCAAGTTAAGTAAAATGTGGACAAAAAGGAAAATCAGACTGGTAATGTATTTTTTGTTTTTAACTGTTTATTTAGTTGTAACAAGATTACAATCATAAAGCTGCTCCTTTCAAATAACAATTTCCAAAATACTAGAACTAGCTTCAGCATCGTAGTACCTGACCCAAAATCTGGAATTCTTGAGGTGCACCTAGTCTAAGAGTTAATTAAGTGTTTGATGCACAAGAAACAGTGGATGCTTTATATCCTTAATCTGTACTTTGCAAATTACAATGCACCCAATCAAAAGATAACATTATGAGCAACTCCATTACATTTCTTATCTATGAATAAGTACAGTAGCACATAACAATGCCTTTTAAAATTCTAATTTCAAAATAATTCACTCAGTCAGAACCAAGGTTGACTTGGGGGTCATGTAGCTGTGTCTATCTACTGTTGAATGTTTTATTATTATTAAATTTGTAGATGTTCAAATTGCTGATATGTTCTGCAGTCATCTACCTTTCCAACAATATAGGATCTTTATTGACTTGTCTCACCATGATTACCTAGATATATTGGTGAACACTTCAGTACATCATGTTGTGTTTCCAATAAAAGAATGTGTTATAAACTGTGGTCTTGCTGCACTGAAACAAGCAATTTGATTTCACTAATGTAACGTTACAAAAGTCATATCACATGATTTCGCCTAACAATGTCTTCCCTGCTTTATTTTTTGTCATTATTTCCCATCCATCACCATTAGGTTACTAAAGAGTAGATTTTACAAATTCCAATGTTAAGATACATTCCCTGGAGAACATATCAGGAATTGGGTGCAATGGTTAGTACACCTGACAGGATTTTACATCCAGACTTCTCTGTGGCACCTACTGACTTAGTTGCCAAACTTCCAGTGTGTGCTGCTGGAGTATGACATTTTGTGTTCAAATTTTGTAATCCTATGCTTTGTTGTGGAAGCCTTCTTGCTGTGTTTCAGCCCCTAAATTGCTGTGTGATAAAATCATTCAGCTGCTCATACTAATAGGATAATAAGCACTAATTAGCACAAGTGCTGTTCAAACCTTATCTCATACTATTATCATCCCAAACAAAAAGTAAGAAAAATAGAATGTGCAGTAACGAACCACAGATAGACAGGATCTGGAACGACTTGGGGTTGAATAGTTTTTTTGGGTAAGCAGCAAGTTTGGTGGAATGATTCTCACTATGAGGCTGCTTGTGTTTCCATCACTAAATTATTAAACTTCTTGCATTAATTGGCATTTCAGTCCTTATCATGAGTATCACGATCTGAATTCTGCCCCATCTTACCACATACCTTTTCTGTAATAACTAACCACTCATTGGAAATAACAGAATTGACCGGCTACCCTAGCACAGGCACTATCTTTAAAAGGCCCCCATGCACCTGGACAAGCACTGTCAGTCTGGAGCTGCCCTGCATGGTTCCTGATGTTTGCTGTAGACATGGTAGACAGGACAGAAGTGGAACCCTGCTTTGCAAGCAGAGGCCCAGAGGTCCTGCTGGATGGGGTCGTGTACAAATGGGATTTCCTCTACCCCACCCCCCCGCAACAGGACCAGCAGTGGAGGCTAAGACAATGAGACTATACCAGCCTGATCCAAGTTTGTCACACAAGTTAGAACGCTCTCAGCTGTCTGGAGGAGTTCCCAGAACTGTAGGAAAAATGTTAAAGTGCTTCTCTACTCCATCTACATAAGTCTGCTATCTTCCTTCCAGTACTTCACACTCACAATCACTCTGCGACTGTACCCACCATGCTCTACCGCTCTCAAAAATGCATGCAACATCTCCCCCACTTGCAGTCACCCACCCCAAACTGTGATATAACTAACTATGCACACCTCTGCACTGCCTGCTCACTCACTTGGACATCTCCTCACCTCCACCAACTGTAATTACTGTGCCACCCATTTTTGTCTTTGGTGATACTTGCTTCTCTCCCATGCCAAGAGCAAACCAGCCCACTAAAGAGCAGGAAAAGTCAAGATGGGTGGTGCTCTATCTGTCATTCAGCTACTCGCTCCTTTTAACCAGGATCCTGACTCTGACCACCCAAGCAGGATCTGGACTGGTATTAGAGGTTGCCCCTGACTTATTGTAGCAGGGTCCCCTGAGCGAAGGCTATTGCCCCTTGACTGGACTGAGACCTGTTGACAACAGTGACAAGCTTCTTGGCTTTGTGTCTCCACCATACAGCATGACAATACAGCAGTAATATGAGCCAGGTATCTTTAGCTGAGACAGCAATGCACAGAAAGGCAAGGTAATGTAATGCAGGATGCTGCAGGTACCTATGTGGGCTTAGAGTGACTGAGTGCAATGACAGTGAGAGAACTGCCCAGAAATAAAGTGTGATCCAGTTTATGTTCTGGAGTGTGTCCTTGTTTGCACAGTGTCCTTGCTGCAGCATTATAATATTTGTTGGTGGAGCCCAAGATGCATAATTGAAGTGCAGAAGCATCCCCTAATTGGATCTGACTTGCACATGAGAGTTGATAAAGGCTGGCACATGTCAGATGCCAGTGTCTGTGGACTTGGGATGTGTGTCGATCGGTGCCCATGGAATGAACCTCTGATGTCAGTGTCCGGTGTCTTTTTGGAGCAAGCAGCAAGTTGAGCCTACCAAGAAATGCTGTAGTTTCCATGTCAAGGTTTCCCGATGGCTAATTTATATAGTAAGTTTGGTAAATTGCAACTTGTGGCAAGTTGGACTTTTAACAAGGCATTTGGCAAGTAATAATGAGATTCACTTGGGAACTTGCCATTGCCATTTGAGAAAAGCGACCAAGGTGCATCAAAATAATCTCAGTATCAAGATGGGGCTCACCGAAAATCTCGTCCAGTTCTGCCATTCATTTCCCAATAGCCCACGTCTCACAGAACCTTATAGCTTCTGCCACTCGATGAGTTCTATGGCCAGATAAACAAGATTGGAGTTTGAAAGCAGGTGCTAGATAGAGTGCCCACAATTTCAGTTAGCATTGAGGCCCCGATAATTTTTGTTCACTTATTCGTTTAAAAAGAGGTGAAGCGTGAAAGTTCTCCTAGAACTGATAAGTATAAAATGTCTTTCTTTCTCTGTTCCTTTTTCTGTTTTAATTAGAATCATGACTTTGTGGATGAACAAACATACGAAGAGAATTGTCTAGAGGGATCCACAAGAAATCGATCAAATTCACACAGCCCTTCTCTCTCATCTCACCATGGTTTAACAGGAACATGTTGCTCAAGACGCAGCAAAAAGCCTTTCCGGCTCCCAAATTCCAACATTACTTGCAGTCACCCTGGAAGTGTACAGGAGCTCAGCACCATTCAGATCCGATGTGTACAGCAGAGTGCACTCTCCAATAGGTAATAATTTATGTCCTTTTTTCTGTAAATCATAGCTGAATAATCCAAATTTTTAATTTAATCATTTTTAATATAAATTACATAAACTAATGCCAAGTGAGAAGTTAACTGATACCTATTTGGTATTAAAAGGGTTGTCTACTCATCTTGTGCAGAAAATATAATTGATAGGATTTAAACTGTTCTGATCAATTAATGACAATATTTTAGTAAAAGTTTCAGGCTAAAATAGTGGCAGTCATTCTTGTGACTCAGGGCTGTGATCCTCTGTTTGAAATAATCTGTGCTGTGAGAATTCACAAATTATTTGCATGACTCAATCACAGCCCTGGTGTAGGCTCCCCTCTAGCCTTGTTCTGGAAAACAATTGAGCATGAATAAGTAAGCCATGCTTGCAGGAATGGAACTACCACCTGCATTAGACTCTTTTAGTTGCTGCCTGAAGGTCTGTGATGGGACAAAAAAAGATGCTTTCCCCAGTTTTCATACCTAGTCTGATAGGCTCTGAAAGTCGAGCAGGCCTACTCCCAGTGGCTAAAGCTAATAGTTTCAGGCATCCCTCAAACTGGGCACAGCTCCTTTGCTACAATTGAAACTTTGGCAAGAGGGCCTGTATCTTTACCTTACTTTAATATGCCCTTCATGTGTGTCTGCTGTAGATAGAGGCCTATGTCCACTTATCTGGGACGTCGCTGGAGCTTTCCTGGTATTGCCTAGGTGCTAGAACGAACAATATCAGAGCCTGATAATTGCAATTGGTACAAGTTTAAATCAGTACATGGCAGCCAGTCAGTACAGACCCAAAAGGGTGCAAGCCTTCATATAAAATTTGTTCCAAATGACCAGAGGAGTTTTTGCAGTCTTTGTTGTTTTTTTATTTTGTGATAAGGAAAGTATGGATTAATTTCTCTCTAAACCTTTATGTGGAGACAAGAAGGAGGAGTGCCCACTTTGAATGTGCAGTTCTGACAAGCTTTGTTGCTCCCACTCAGCTGCCCTCCTCACCCCAAAACTTACCTCAGTATCACTACTTGGATGGCAGGTGGGACAAAGTTTTTTTCATGAGGCAAGCTGTCCAAGGAAGGGCTATGGACACCAGTAGCTCTCCCTTAATATATGGATAAGGCCTGAAGACCAATCCCTGGCAATCAGGGGTCACTTTGTTCAGGCATGTGCTGTCTCCACAAACAGACTCAGTCCAAAATCTACCCCATCATTTCTTTTGTTGAGCTATCATCAGCTTCTTCTCCTTTTTTCATTGCCTTGAATGTATCTCACTTACTTCAAGTTTGAAGAGTCATTTTTATGAAAGAAAAGATTGCAGTTGTGATAATTGGGAGGTTCATTTTGATTTGACATTGTTAAAATTATACATTTTAAAACCATTTTATATTGATGTAACTACTTATGTTGTGAATCATTTTAACATTTAAACAAAAAATTGGACAGTTTACTGAGCCATTATATGATCTGTTTAAATGGCCACACTGATGCAAAATCTGACTTGGTAAGAATTTGTTTTCAGTTTGTTTTTATGAACTATTATTTTAAAATCTCATTTTATGTTGGTCTGTACTTTGGCAGTGCCTTACAGGCTGTAACAATTAGTGTTTACTCTTTCAGCCGATCCAGCTTGAATGCAAACATAGAGGAAAGTGTCAAACTAAATTGTGAGAAACCCTATATAACAACAGCAGTAATAAGCATGCCCAGCCTGCCTGCTACAACACCCGAAGGAGATGACAGGTCTGACTCTCCAGATCAAGCAGAAACCAACATTGTAAAAGTGTCAGCACTGTAAAAATCTTATCAACTCAAATGTGAGCCTGGAAAGTCATGACCGACCACCTGTGTTATGTTCCTGCTATTGAAGAAATAGAAAAGAACATCACAGACTGGGGAGCAAGAGGAGAACATGAATGTTTTCCCTGATAGTTTTGCATCGTGAAGTCCATGACAAAAGAGATCATCACACTGAAGATATTTATCAGTGAAGCTTGACATCAAAGTTATGTAACATTGACAGTGAGATGAGCAAAAAGAGGTATCATTAAGCTTGCAAAAGCTCTGCAATGATTACGTTGCAGTTGAGCACAATGAGACATTTCCACTTTTGCTACCTTTCCTGCTTGAAGACTTGTTTTGTGAGAGAAGTACACATGAACTGGAAAGTGTGCATGAGGGAGAAACTACAAGTGAAATTTTCCTCTTCGCAGCAACAATGATTTCAGCAAAAACAAAATAAACTTATTTAAGTTATAAGTAACTGTAAATATTGGATTGAAGACTAACATACTTTAAACAAATACCACAAAGTTGCATGTTAAGTTTTCCCTGGGGCATTTAATACATAACATTCATGTTTTTCATGCAATGAGCACGTACAATAATTTGCCAAAATCAGGGTCTGTTTCCTAACAGAGGATAACTATGTATAGATGGTCATCAGTTACCAAAAGACTGTTTAAGACCAGATGGAAAAAACAATTGCTGTGATGAGTTCCGGTTATTAATTTATATTAACCAATTACAATACAGTAAAACCTTGAAAATAATAACCCCCAAATTGAAATTACTGTATTGAAGCCTTCACAGCAAGACAGAGCAGAATACAATTTTTTAATCGATACTTTCTTTTTCCCGTACAAGCTTGTTCTATAATGCTTATAATGAGTGTGAACAATTTTCAGGCCAGCGCTTGAATGGGTGGACTGCAGTTGATGTGTATTACAGATTTTATCTTTTCTCATTGCAGCTGTAGCAAGCCTAAGACTGTTCTTTCTGCATGGTCTCCCAGATTTATATGGGACTTAGTAGGTGGTCATTCAGCAAGCTTTGTGCTCTTATCATTTGTAACTGTGGAAGTTGTTCTTCCTCCTATAAAAATATGTATATTTTTGAGTCAGTATCTTCAAATGTACTGAATTACATTATTGATTCCTTTTTAAAAATAAAAATGGGGATTTTAGGTGTGCCAGTATTTAAATAATTTAGTCTTTAGTTAAGCCATTTTTCTTGAAATTACACTGAATGGTATTATGATGTAAAGGAAGATGCTTTATTCTCAGCCACAGCTCAAAGGAAAGAGAACCATAACCTGTACTCTTGGGACAATGCTCAGTAGACAGAGCATGTTTCAGAGTAAACCTGTTTATCAATTCCCCTACCCCTTTCTGCCTAATAAAGTAAAATATCGAGTGATACGTTGCTTCAAAGAGAGGTTAGAAGGACAGAATCTTCAAGTTTGCATGATTAATATTTCTGTGGCAAGGCAGTGAACTTCCACCATGTTCTTTTTCTTTCTGTAATGCCGTTGTATTTAGACGAATATATATAGTTTACAAATGTGAACATTGTTGACATGCTGTTAAATGGGATAGGTTGCTTGGAAAGAAAAATTTTAAAAAATGCATTTTTGTTCAGCATTTTCCTAGATTGGTCTCTGGCTGAAGCACTGCAAAGTAATACAGCAATACTTCTTTAAAAATCAAATTACTATCTGATTGCAAAAATAAAATTATTTGCTGAACGCTTTTACAGCAAAGGATAACAGACGTTGCATCTGGAACTTTCTCACCTACACTTAAGTATTACTTATGCAAAAGTTTCATTCCTGAACATTCTTTTATATAAATGTCCTTCAGATGTCGTAAGGGTGATTCAGAAATCTCTGTCAGATTTACTGTCCTCCATTGTAAAATGACTGTTGCAGTGTGCAATGCTCTGTGCTGTAGTTGTAATTTGTAATGTATGCTATGATTTCACTGTTTTGGATTTAAACAGCTTTCATAAGTTCTACTTTAGGAAAGCAGCATAATTTGTCACCTATTATGCTGGAGAACTAAACATCTAGAAATAAAATGTCTGCATGCTTCAGTTGGAAGGGATGATCTTGTAACTAGAAGTTATGCTTGAAAGTCAACAGCATTCATGTTCTTCACTACAGAAAGATTAAGTCTTGTAAAACTATCCCAAGGTAAATTGTGAGGGGCAAATAGTATAAGAATAATGTGAGATAACAATGAAGTGTTTTTGCAGACAAAATGTGCAGCTGGAAAACAGAATGTATTTAATAGAACTTAGCGATACAGAGAATGTTTGAACTGAATGTCATCACCTGTAAAATATACACTGAAAATTGTGGTGTTAAAATGCAAGTATGCAGCAGAATGAGGGATCAAAAATTGTGCATTTTACATAATTTTTAAAAACAAAGGCACATTGAAGACACATGATACAGAAAATGATTCCCATGTACACAAGTTGAGATTAAAATGTTTTAATTTTTGGGCATGTGTGTTTTCTGTCAACTGTGTAATATTACTAACAACATTTAATGTGTAATGCAACATATGGTCATTTGTGTGAAAGATATTCCATAGTTACATTCTGCAACAAAGGAAATCACAATCATAAACCATCTTGATAGTCAACAGCCTGGCTATACTGATGACAGGTGACCCTAACCTCTATTCACTACTCTTCCACACCCTCTCTGCACCAAATCAGCTGCTACTGTGCTGTAAAACTTGTCTGATGCCCAGTCTTGGAAAAGCCTCAATTTTCTCCAGTTATAAATTGAAGTTATCAAAGCCATCACCTTCACTGTTTGCCATTAACTCTGTATTTTCATCTCCAAGCCAATTCCCTTCCTTGGCCAGGATCTCTGGTTGAAACAGACTTTGCAATCTTGGCTGGATTTCTGACCCCATATCATCATCATAAATACCTTCTACTTCCACATACATTAGATCACCTGTCCCTACCTCTACTTCAACCTATTTACCACTGAAACTCTTATCCACAAAGTTGTTACAGTGCAGAAGGAGGCCATTCAACCTTTCATGACTACACTGACTCTCCGACAAGTATTACGACCAAGACCTTTTCATCTGATTTATCCCCCTACTCTTGCATATCGATTTGTAAGTAGAAGCATTCAACAACCTCTTGAATGCCTCAATTAACTTTGCCTCCACTATACTCCTAGGCAATGCATTCCAGATCCAAACCACTCAGCGTGTGAGAAAGTTGTTTTTTTATGTCAAACTTGCTACATTTGCAAATCACTTTAAATCTGTGCTGCCTCATTCTCAATACTTTTATGAATAGGAAAAATTTGTCCCTGTCTACTCTTTCTAGACCTCTCATGATTTTTAAAACTTATGACAGATCCAGCCTTCTTCTCTCCAAAGAGATCAGCCCAATCTCTCCAATCTACCTCATAAGTGAAGTTTCATATCCCTGGTAGTAGGAACTGCAGATGCTGGAGAATCCGAGACAACAAGGTGCAGGGCTGGATGAACACAGCAGGCCAAGCAGCATCATAGGAGCAGAGAGGCTGACGTTTCGGGCCTAGACCCTTCATCAGAAAAGCTTTTCTGATGAAGGGTCTA